TTTAAAAAAACAAAGAGTAATAAATAAATAACGGAACATCGTTACTTTAACTATTTAATTTACTTGTACAAACTATCTTTTATTAGAATTATTCTATGAGATTACATTACCTGTTTTCTTGACAAGGCATAATCGTTCCGTATTTTACTATTTTCCGCTTTAAGTTTATCGCGCTCTTCCGTGGTGGTTTTCAAATTATCCTTCAAATTTTGCAATTCGGTAGGATCGCTGATCTGTTTTCGAATGACAAACATCAAATTAAATGTTATTTAATTATTATTTGTCGAAGAAAACTATTTACATACACCATATTTCTTTAACACGGTTTGAAATCGGTTTTTCCACCGTTCGTTGTCCTCTTTGAGTATTCTCATTTCTTGGGCGGAACTATCTCGGTCAAGTTGTAGACTCTTAATTTGTTCTATTTTAATCACAATAATAATAGTAATAATAATAATAAATGATGAGACTTCATCGTTGTGTTAATTCGCACCAATATAATTAATTATTACCATCTAATGTTTGTATTTTTTCCTCTGCTTCTTTCAACGAAGATTGCGCCGTAACAACTTGTTTCTCTAATCGTTCACTTGTAGCTCTCAATGTCTGATTGCTTTCTTCAAGGAGTTTTAATTGAGTATTTTTTTCTGAAAGCTCTGTTTGCAATTTCTCCAAAGGTCCACCCTTTTCTGCTTGCTCACGTTCCTAAACAAACACGTATAGAAAAATTGTCTAAATCATTACGAAAGCATTTGAAAACTAAAATGTTCAAATGATAAACAGAAAGCACGTACCTGAATGAGCAACGCACGCACATCATCCAATGACTTTTGAGTGTGCTCATATTGAGCTTTATATCTTTCGGCTTGTTGTGCGAGTGCTTCTCTTTGGGTTTCTGCCTTTTCTTTTTCCATACGCAAAAGTGAAATTATTTGGTCTTGGGACACTGTCCTTCCAGAATCAACATCAAAGTATTCATGAAGCGTTTTATTGCTTTCTTCAAGCTCTTTACATCTACAAAATTTAGTGCGATTAAGGAACAATAAATAACAGTTCAACAATTCATTTACACAACTGCCCTAATCAGATTACCGTTGAAGTGTCTTTTCCAATTCTTTTTCAAGTTTATCCTTTTCATCATTCCAAAGTTCTTCTGACTTTTGTAACTGAATCTAGAAAATTATAATGGACTTCAGTATAAAAATAAACACATAATTACACGACGCAAGCTAATATTACATAAATATAACCTTCAATTGGTCGAATTCAGATTTCAGCTGCGCATGTCTTGAATTTAATGTGAGTATAGATTGAGCATCTTCAGCATGAACAAGCACTTCACGATTGTATTTATTTTGTGCTTCTTCTAATAATTTTTCTTGTTTAGTCATTTCTTCACGGAGCTGATGTTTTTCATTGTTAGAGTTTGCACGAACTTCATTTAGCATCTGTTCTAATTTTACTACTTCGTTACGTGCTGTTGTAAGCTCTTGATCTTTACTACGTAATTCATCAATCTTCTGATCAAGTTCCTCCTTTACAGGATAGAGTTCTTCTTGAAGTTTTTTTATCGAGGCCTAATGACAAAGTTAGCTTTCATTTTAAAAAACATAATAATATTCATTTATTAAAAACCTACTAGATTTGCTTCCCGTTCTTCATCTGCAGCAGATTTTAATTCATTATATATTTGCTCATTATTTTTTAATTCCGTTTGATATTTTTCGTACAAATCTTTGTAGGTTTGAGACTCATCTCGTATATTAATAATTTCCTTTTCTTTAGCTACCAATTCAGTCCTACAAAATAATTAGGCATATATGGTTAACATTATAATTGGTGATTTAATCAGAAAAATTTTTTAACTTACTTCAATCTGACAATTTCGATGCCTTGATCGCTTGCTTGGAAAACGGAGAGCTGATCTTTCAGCGCCTGAATTTCTTTCGTAAGTGTTTCCATTTCTGTCAAACGAATTCTATTCCCATCTTCTAGCTCTGTAATCTTATTTTGCAACGTCTTATTTGATTCAACGAATTTGCTATGCTCTTCAGACGATTTTTTTAAGGCATTAGAATATTTTTCGCTCACAGAAACAAGTTGTTCTTGCAAATTATCACATTTTGCTTGTGCAGATAATAATTTTTCCTGTGCAATTTTGTATTCGCTATCTATATGTTCCTTTTCCTCTGACAGTTTCTGGACATTTCGCGCCAAGTTTTCGGCTTCGCTTTTTGAAACTATAAGGTCATCCATCTCTTTGTTGATTCGTTTTTGCGATTCCTCCCATTTAATTTGTTGACTACTAAGGTCATTTTTCAAATTTGCAATTTCCACATTCAATCTAGAATTTTCATCAATTGCCTTAAAAAATAAAAAATAAAAAATAAAAAAATAAAATATAACATTAGCACACAAATCAATATATTTAATAAAAATGGTCATATCAATACCTTCGTCAATTGCCTTTCCATCTGTTCATTCAACTTTTGGATTTGGTTTAAAACTGTCTTTGTATTTTGGCATTCTTCCTCCTTTATATTTAAATGTCCTTGAATAATCTTGTGTCGATCTGTAATTTAACAGGACAAAAATTTAATATGTAAATTTAACATGTAAATTTAATATGTATGATAAAACAAAGTTCGTACCTTCCCAACTTTGTCGATCATATGAATATTGAATTTTTTCATGACGGAGCGTTGACAGCTCTTGATTCGCGTTTTGAAGCCTCTCATCAAGATCTTTCATTTCTTGCAACGAAATTTCAAGTCGAGACTTCAATAATTTAATATTAGTTAATAATAAATTTTGATGTAAATATATGCCTTTCAAGTAAAAAAAACATAATACCTTAAGATCGGTAATTTCCGCTTCGTAATCGCGCCCACGAGTACCAAGAATTGATGGAATCATTCTTACAGAAGCGTTAGCATCTTGGATACTATTGATACTTCCTCGTAACGTCAATTCTTGTTGTAACCCTCGCTCTCGCTCAAGTGACTCAACTTGCGAACATAATTGTCGCTGTCTCATTTGAAGACGAGAAATTTCTTGTACAGCGGATTGATTTTCCGAATCTTTTAGAGTGATCTGATCTTGTAGCACTTTAATTTGATTTTCAAGTGTTGAGATCTTTTTCATTAAACTCTTTTTCTCGGCTTTTAAGTTAAAACTTAATCTATAAAGACTATCAATATCGTGTGGTTCATTATCTTCTCCGATATCCATTTGAGGTGACCTTGGGGTACCTCCTCGAAATTCATCAACTTGACGTATTAATATAGAGTTGTGTTTTATGTACACTTCTTTTTCTATTAATTAGAACAAGTCAGCTGATGGCTTATAGGAGAAGTAAATCATATGCTCTCATAGAATTTATTGAAGATGTAAATACCATTCTGTAGTTGATTATTACGGTCCGTTAGTTGCAGATTTTCTGACTGTAAGTTGTTTACCTAAATTAATGTATAAAATGAGTTTAGAATTGATATATTACATCAAAAATTAAATTAGACAAAATACACAATGTACCGATTGATTAAGTTGTTGAATCTCTTCATGACACGCTCTTAGCTGTTCAGAAATTGTCTGATTTTCCGCAGCCATTTGATTATACTCCACCGTTCTTTGATGAAGGAGCGGAGTCTATTCAAGCGTAAAGTTTAGTTATATATCTTAATAGTAACAATAAAAGTACTGAACAATAATTACATAATTTTCGAGTTCTTTGTTGAAAGTTGCTAGTGCTTCAGTTAGTTCCCGATTCTTTCTTCTCTCTTGTAATAATTGCTCTTGAAGTTTTGAATACTCCGAATACTGTAAAAAGTATTGTTACTAGGTTTAATATTTACATAAGTAAAAATAGCAAAATAATAAGATGTAGAGTTTTTAATTTTACCATCTGCACAATAGATTTTCCCTTAGACTGTAATGCCATGCTAACGGCACTTCCTGGAGAAACTGACGATACAGATGATATTTGGCTCAAATGTTTATTTTCATCCTCGATCCGCCGAATATCCTCATTCAGCTTTTCTATTTCTGATTGAGACTAAATAAATAATTTTAAAATAAAATAAGAATATATTATAGATGTAATAGTTCAATGATTAATGCAAAATCACCTGAGTGAGTTTATTATTTGCTTCCGATAAAGAATATTGAAGGTCAGCTATCTCTCCTGGAGAATTTAACAATGTTAGAACATGTATTTCTAATACAGTAATACGATTTTTTATACATATTTTCCTACTTTGTGCCCGATTAATCGCCTCTTTATCTTCTTGCTGGCGTTTTTCATATATTTCATTCAATCTCTTTAAGGATTTTCCTTCAGCTAAGACTTTATCCACTACTTCTTTGTAATATCTTTCTTTATCTTCTTTTTCCGCATTTGTTTTCTGAACTATAACAATCTGTTCTTTGAAAGCATACTCATATTGACTCGCTTGTTGTCGTGTTGTATCGAGTTCAATCAATAATTTTTCGACTTTTCCATTAAGTACATCGATTTCTTTATTCTAAAATTAAACTTTTTAAGCATAATTGAATCAATTCAAAATACAAATTTATAATGCCTTTATATTACCTTGCTCTCCGCAGTAGTTCTTGTCAGATCTTGCCAATGCATTAAGTCTTTCTCCATCGAGGATAGTCGACTTTTGAGTGACTCTATCTCCACATCTGAAATTGTTACTTTATTCTAATATAAATCAATATTCAATAATTATTAAATTTTTTTCACTTATTCAATCCATATTAAATAAATTGGTTTTTATTAGGAAAATAACACTACGTGACTATATAGTTCAAATGACTAAAATATAATTTTCCTAAAATTATACTTACCCTCCATTGATATTCGCTCTTCTTAACTGATTGCAGTTCATTTTGAAGATCAAAAATTTGTTGTTGATACTGTGATCGTAAAACCGCCACTTGTTCATATGCCTCTATTTAAATATAAACAACTTAGCATCTTTATTATCTTTTTCATCCTAATTATAGTTAGGTTATTAGCCTAACTTTTAGATTCTTATAATGTTTTATTACCTTTTGTTTGATGTAGCTCTTGATCTTTGTTTGTGATTAAAGCAAGTCGACTTGTTTTTTCTTCTTGCAACGCCATTTCCATTCGTGCTATCTCAAAACGAATACTGTCAACTTCTTCGTTCGCAGTTTTACAGTCATTAAGAGCTTTTTGCTTTTCTTGTTCTATTAAAAAAAAAAAAAAAAAAAGACGTCAAACCACCTCGAAGCGAATCAACATTTTCACTTTTAAATTTACCATATCGTTCGAGGAGTGATTGGTACTCGTTTAAACGTTGCTTTTGACTTTCGTTGATTACTTGCAATTCTCGACACCGAATTTGTGATTGGTGTAGCTGTTGATCTAAATACCATGAAGGCTCGATTTAGCGGAAAATTATACAACTCTTTAAGGATTAAAAAACCAAATTCGTCAACACTCACCATATGATAGACGGGAAATAGTTAGTTCTTTACGCAATTGTTCAAGTTCATCTTCTGTCGCCATTGAATAAAATTTAAATAGTTTGAGGTAAAAAAAGTTTCTAGGTAATATTTCAAATCGGAGACTTCGATGTTTTCCAAAAATAAAACCCACGTGTAAACGGTGCTATTGCATCGCATGACAAATTGACATTAAAAGATAGATTCTGATTGGTCTTTATTACAACACTAGAACTCCGGACCAAAATCATCGTAATTCTTAACGTTAATTCTTGCCAAAATTTAATCAAATATTCCGTATTCCGGTGTTCCGAAACAAAGTACAGTATATATCAAGAGGCTGTCATCGCTGATAGCTCTGATTCTCTCTTTCTTGCCTAAAATACAGACTCTCAAATTCCGACTATTTTTTTACTTTATTCACTCATTTCACCAAATTACATATAAACATGATGCAGAGTTCTGATATAGGCACTAGAGATTCTAGGTATTTTCATTAATTCTTTTTTCTTTAATTGCTACCGTTTATTAAGTATTCTCATTTTAGGCGAGATCGCGATGACCGTGACTCTCGTGACAGAGAAGGATCGATTGATTATAGAAGGCATGTAAAACAAAAAATTACAGACTAAGTTTAAGAATATTTTGCAAGCAAAATACTTGTCATTCGTTGTGATATCTTTCAAGATTTTTCGCTAAAAGGAATTTCATTTTAGACGAGAGCGTGAGGAAAGTGATGAACGTGAAAGGCAAGGTGCAAATATCTTTAGAAGGTAAAGTATAAAATCATTGGGAAAGATTTTAAATTTTAAAACTTTAAGGAATTATGTTTTCACCAAAAAATATATATATATATTTCAGACAAGATGAACGTGAGATATACGGAACACCAATAAATCGAAGGTAATTTATGACAAAATAATAAACAATCAGCTTGAGGAAAAAATTAATTGGACTATTACATTGATCCAAATGCCTCATCCCAGAAAAAAATAAATTTAAAAATTTATAATTTTTCAAATTGAAAATGAATGAAATATAATTTAAATATCTTTCAATATTACGCTATATAGTAATAAACGACGTGAATTTGATGAATTGGGTCGAGCTCCAGGAGAAAGAATTTTATACAATGATCGCAGAAATAATAGTGACATTAGACGTGAAGGCATAGGTCGCCAATTAGGTCCTAATCTTCGTGACCACGAAGTAAGTAGTTGTAAATTTCTTAATCGTAGGCTATTATTAACAATCCAAGATCATTAGTTGTAAAATCCGAATATATAATTTGTTAATGAAATATGTGTATTTTTTGTACGGCATTTTGTGATAATAAGTACGATGACCGAAATCCAAACCGCAGGGGTCGATATCATCCACATGATAATTCTGGTCAGCGGGATTATTTTTCACATCACCGCATGTATCGTTACAGAGACAACTTCGATGATTGGGATCTTCGTACGATACCAAGAAGTCGTGAAAGAAAAAGGCCAGAACATGATAGGCCAAGATCGGATCGAGATAGAGAGCGAAATGATCGTGACAGGAATGCATCAATATCTCGCGAACGTCAATTAAGCCGTGTTGTCCCATCACGAGAGTGTACAAATCAATATCTTATCCACAACATGAGCGGGTTTGAGTATCCAGAATTGGAAACACGACAAAAATTTTCATTTGGGTTTAACAAAGACTTTGAGAGAGATGAACTTCAAGGTATAGGACCTACATACGGTAATTGGCGTAATAGAAATAGATCAACATCCCCTTCACCTAGATCTTCTGTAACAAGTTCTTCATCTTTTACGCGTCATCGAACAAGATCACCAGTACCTAATAAATTAGATATTACAAAGTCAGAAGAACCGACAAATTTATCACCAACAAATATTCATAGTCGATCAAGGCCTCCATCAATTAAATCAGCAGCGTCACCACACCGTTTCGAGATAGAGCAATCGTCTGTATTTATGCGACTTCAAAATCGCGATGAGAAATCATCAATCGATGATAATTCATCATCTTGCAGAGAAAAAATGCAGTATACACCTGAATATAAGGACGAGGAGACCAATTTCAGCATAGAAAGTATCCAGGAAATAGAAAACTCTAGTCAATCAAATATTGGCAATGAAAAAGGTGGTTGGACTGGTTGGCATAGTCTAGAAAGGAGAGAAGTTGAACAAAGCCAAAGAATGGAAGAATCTAAATTAATAAAAGAACAAGAACTGTTACAATCTTGCTCTCAAAACAATGACACAAGTCTTGAAGAATCGGATGCACAAATTGAGAAGTTTCGAAATAACATAACAGATAGTGATGGAGAACCTACATTAAACCATATTGAGTCAAATAACGTCGTTATTAGTTCGACTACAGCTATATGCGATATAGTACAAAACTCAACGAATGAAAATACAAATGTCGGTATTCATACTCGAATTATTGAGGCTCCCGGTCTGGACGGTGTGCCAATATCTCAACACATTAAAACCGAGGAACTCAGTAATTCAGGGGAGGAGAGACCAAAATTCCAAAGTTTATTCGAAGAACTAGAATATGTGGAAGGGCAAATTGATATTTGGGAAGGACTTCGAGATAAGAAATTAGAACAAATCGAAAA